CAACAAGTCTCAAGAATTACAAAGAGTCTATAGAACACGTGTATCCCAATGTGAACAATTATCTTGAGAGAGAAATCTTCTTCCCTTCCCTGCAGACTGGCCTGGTTGGTATTATCCTAAAAAACTAATAGCTAACAACTTCACTGGAAAGTACACCTCACTAATACCAGAACAAGGCCAATTCCACGTTACCTTGAATGCTGTGGAGGATACTGTAATCTAACATTGAGAGGGTAGACCATAGCATCAACTGGATTTCTGACCACCTTTTGTGGAGCATTTGTGCCAGATTACATGAGGGGAAAATCAAAGTTTAACTTCTGGCAGATTGCCGGCAAATCAGCAGAATTTATCCTACAATTGTTTTCAGAAATAGCGAAAAAAACCAAGAAAGCCCATGTGGTGAGTATCACTAATTTTAAATGCAAAGGGTCTTTTGGGAATGAAAGTTTAAAAAAGTCTCACAAAAATGTGACAAAATGGTAAAAATGCACTTTGTAACTTCATATCAAATTGTTCAAAGCAAGTCTAGAATTTGATAAAAAGAGATCCAATAACAAGTGAACCCTTGTAATAATCAAAACATGGTTTCACAAATACTGACCTAAAAGAGGAATTTATTCTTGTGTATTCCAGATTCCAAGTGATTGTTACAGTAATAGTAAAGCTAAAAGTTGGCCAAAGTTCAATTTTCCATCATATGGTATCAAAGCTGAAACCAAGTGTTTTCCGCTGTCTTACAACCTAAGTAAAACCCTGGGAAAAGAGCCAAATCCACAAGTTTGCTGTGACTTACCTGACTCCAACAACGATCATTATGGTGGTAACTTTGTTCGCCTTGCCTGTTACCACACATTCCATGTGTCCTGTTTATCAAGTGATGGCTGCTGCAGTATATGCAAAGAACCTTTGGAACAATTGATAAAGAATAAAGTCTCTCAGTGTAATGAAGGACTGTTGAAAAATGGAGGTACAGAATCAGATGGTGAATCAAGTGACCCCGAAACTGAAGATGACACAGCAACTGTGGTGAACGGTGAAACAGGAAATGCAAATGCAGAGCAGTACTACACCTCTGGACTCTGGGAACAGAAAGTCAATAGCAGCCTCTCAGCCATTGGAGAGATTGATCAACCACAACACCCTAATGCTCAAGCCTCATATGCACACACCCAGTCTCAGTCCTCAGTGATCCAAACTAGCTCCATTGTCCAGCAACTATCTATAAATCCTACCAAGTCCAACAGAATTACAAGCTGGCATTTCCCACCTGAATATTCACAATCAACTTTAATTGGCCGACTAGGCAGTAATGCATGCACATTTATTGCCCTCACATACAGTAAATTATACTTTAGCTCGCCCGAACCTCTGGACAGCAGCAGGCCCCTAAGCAACACCTGGATTTACAGAGTTCTTGCAGCTATCATGCTTGGCAACCAATTTTATGACAAGGCTGCTGGAAACAGTGGTGGGCAGCTGTATGGTGTACGGGAAGCAGCAACTAAAATGGAGCAGACAAAAGCTCTTGAAAGCATTGAAGTCTCTACAGAGTTGCCAGCCAGTATCATCAGAGAGCAGACTCCAGCAGCAAGCCTGCCGTACTACTTAAACCAAGCCCAGCTGAACAATTCCAAAACGGCATGTATCTTTATTATCAATGGCAAAACAGTGGCATTCATCCGAACACAGAATGGAATAACAGTGTTTGACAGCCATTACCATGAGACAAGTGGAGCATTTGTGGCAATGGCCCCAAGCGATGCAGCGTTTGAATTGCTTTTAATTGTTTAAGACAATTAACAACATACCTCATAATTTAGGAGCAGTGACATGTGTCTCATTCAAATAATGGAATTTATCGATCGAGTAAGATAAACAAACTTAGTAAAAAACAAGTACTGTACAGGGGTATAGGTACACGTAGCCAACAATACGTTCCTTGAGAAAGCAATTTTTTTTAGCTTTAAGTTTTACGAGTGAGCTTACGAGTGCATGCAGGTGCTGGGCATTCATGTTTCACGACAACACAGAGCGTTTGTATTCACATAAATATTAACTTACGACAAGCGCAAGAAAGGTGCCGTTTTGATTACAAAACAAACTAAGATCGTAATACTCACCTCCGGCGACACTTTTCCAAACTCTAATGTTGCCATCAATGTCTCCCACACATCATTTCTTTCTCAAACGAAGCAGACGAGTGTAAATCGAAACGAAGAACGCGTCGTGGCGGTTGAATCCAAAGGCGTCTCCAAAGCTCAGAATATTTACCGCGTTAACGACAAGTTTTCACGTATTTCTCGGCATTTCTTTGGGGGAAAACTTCGGATTGTTCAAATTTTCATTTTACAAAGCATAAAAAGGAGATATTTGTGTTTAGGTGCAAAAATAATGGAAGATTTTCTGTTCCTTTCTTGTCGTTATTCAACTGAACACGAAAGAACCACGCATCACGTTCGCGCCGAAATTTTGATGTTGTTGTAATGACATCTCGCACATGCGCAGATGTTATTCAGCCCTGTCTCTTACATTTATTCTAACTCTGCTGGGAGTAATAACTTCCGTGACGAATGTGTCCAAATTTAGAAGAAACATGAAGAAAGGACAGAAAGGATAAAGCTATACGATATCGACGTACTGAGTGTCCTTCTGAGGTCCATACTGATTATTTTCTGTCACGAATGGGAAGCAAAATTCATTTCATATTTGTGATTCACCGTATAGGCACGTCGTTCGAATAGGCGTGCTCCGGACATTTTGTGTTCGATCGTGACTATCATGGGCCGATTGATTCGAAGCTTTAACATCCCCCCTCCCGGACAACCCGTCGGAATTTGACTTTTGAACATTTGTTTGTTCAAACTCCCGCTCATTGGGACAAAATTGTGCTTAAATGCCCTCCCAAAGTTTTGTTGAAGGCAAAATCAGCAGCCGTTAGTTTCTACATTTTGATTGAGTTTTAAAACCTAGACCTTGTCCAGCTTTTCTTTAATTTTGAGCCGTTTTCTGTCTAAAGTGAACTATTTACCATTAAACACCGCCTTATTGAAAGATATAACGCTTCCGTTTCAAATTCTCCGTCCCCCCCGTATGGACGACAAACAAATTGGTTTGCCCGGGGGATGTTGAAGCTTTGAAATGATCGGTGCATAATGCGTGTGAGTGTAAAATAACGAAGAAAGAAACAAAAATAAGATATAATTAACATAATTTTTCGCTCGTTTCATTTCGTGTGAATGAGCACCATCATTTGTTTGATGTTCCATATTCTTTTCTTGCTCGACTGTGTTCCAAGTAAGGTCAGATATTATTGCTTCCATTTAAATTCCTTCCAAGTTCGCAGGGGTTCTCTCTTTCTGAAACAGAGAGTAAAACACATGACTATAAACTATTCCAAAACAACATCTAGACATCTTTTATTTTCTAAGAGTCTCGAATTCTTAATTCCACATGCCATTATGATAAAAAAAGAAAATTTTTCTCGCAAGGTTTGCAGTGCACCCTTTCGCTGATTAATGTTGCTCGGATTTCATCTGCTTTCTCGCAATGAACTTTCTTATTTCTATAACATTCCGCATCCTCATCATTTCACATGATGGAATTATTTGGAATAACCACTGTCAGTTTATTTGCAAACCTTGACATTTGAAGGTAATTGAGGATGTCAAACAATTCGAATTCTAATTTCTATGACCAAATTCAAGATTTGAAATAACAGGGTATGCATTTGAAAATATTCATTTCATTGGTTTAAAAGGACAAGTTTTGAATATCGAAGAAAAACGTTTTGTCTAAACCAAAAGAGAAAGGCTTGTTAAGTAAGGAGAGCAGGTGTTTATATCGTACAGACTGAAATGTAAATTATAACTTCCAAATTACTCTAAATAGATATCTGCATGAATGTATCGTATATATTAAATGTGTAATATTGAACATTGCAACAAGCTCCTTTAACCAGTTTCTGTAGAATGTAAAGTTGTCTATAGAAGCGTTCAGTCCATGTGAGGAAATTACGATATAATAAAAACTTTCGAACAACCAGGAACGTCTCTAAATACTATGTTCCAAAACCCAGAATCACCTTCAGTGCTTTATGGTCACAGTTCCACCATCGACAATTTACACATGGAACGTTGCCTTAATTGGTCTCGTCATGAACCAAACTGATAATGCTGATGATAAACTAAGCCTCCCCAATGCGACAACTTTGTCAAAACCATACTGAAGACCTTGACAAAGACGAGTTTATTCGCCAAAAATGCCCATCAAACGCCAAACAGATTAGCTAATTGAAAATTTTCAGAGCTACAATACATTAACTTTGTGGCGACCGTTTCATAATTACGTTGAGTTGTTTGGAACATTAAATTACAACGAGATCGAATATATGCGATGAAAAAGCGACAAGGCTTAGTGATGTCGTATATAGCTTTTAACTGCCAGCCGTTTAAAGATCATTATGTGGTTTATTCAGTCTAATATATATCCGTATAAATAATATGATAGCTTATTTCAATGGTATTGAATTAGAACCTTTTCTTCAGCTGGTTTCAATTAGGAGCTCAGTTTAACGTGGGGGGTAAACAAATCAGTTATCAATAATAAATAAGATAAGCTTCCTATATCGCAGGCAACAGGCGACGACGACCAAACTTGTTTGCCGTGTGTTTTGTCAAGTATTTGCGAACGACATGCTCGCTTCGTGGCTGACTCAGTTTGTCTTTGTGACGCTCACTGTATTCCTGGTGTTTGTGGTGGCGAACCAAAACTTTTGTGCAAGCGTTTTAGAAACTCAAGTGGGTAAGTAATACCCTTACAGTGAGCTTTACTATATTTATAATTTTGTTTTTTGTTTCTGCATCAACAATTTCCAACTGCAAATGTTTCCTAACAGATTTTGCCTTACTCGGTCATGTCATCAACAAAACTGATGTTTTCGACGAGTTCGAATGTAACCTAAAGTGTATTGGAAACAGGCGTTGCAAGTCGTGTAATGTTCATCCCAATGGCAATGATGCGGGTAAGCGTCTTTGTGAGCTGAAGAGCAAAACCCGACAGATGAGGCCAAGTGATTTTAAACGAAAGATAGGATCTACGTACTATAGCTCAGTTCAGGTAAGTCAGAAGTTCAGTTTTAATATGTGTATATTCATTTCGAATCCAAGTAAGGCTAAAATTAACATCAATTCATCCAGGGTAATTGTGTCGATGTTTCTCATGAGCGAGAACGAAAAATGGCAGGTCAGTGTCATCCCAGATACAAAGGAAGCTGGTGTCAAACACGTAAGTACCGTAAAAATTTTACACAGCATGGCAAAATGAAAGTTTGTTTCCTTTTTAGTGATTGGATCGATTTTGCGTATAATCTGTATACTGGCCTCCATATCATTCCGGCATGATTTCAAGGATAATAGTAAAGGCGAGGAAATAAGTGAAACCGCCATATCGCCCGACTGTAATGGTGTCATTTTGTAGGAAAAAGTTCCTTGCAAGTGCGCGTTTTCTTTTGAAACTGTAAACTTTTGTCGGTAAGTATATGAATGAACGTTTCGATGGATGGAGAATGCTCGAAATGTCAGGCGTTTCTCCAAGCAGTTTTATGTTAGATTCACCTTCACCTACTCAACTTGGTATACCATTTTATTTTAACTTACCTGGTGCATTTAAACATTATTAGGGAATTGGCGCAAAAAATGTTAAGAAAGGGATCCGTCACAAAGATTTTCAAATGAAGGTTACATTGTACTTTACAATTTTTGTTGGTAGCTAAGAAAGGTTCAAGTTCCCAGCATCCTGCTCGCTCATGTAAGATGATCCAGGACACAGGTGACTCAATGGGAGATGGAGAGTACTGGATTGACCCTGAAAACAATGGAAACCCTTTAAAGGTCTATTGCGACATGTCAACTGACGGAGGTGAGCGATAGTTGTATTGTTGGTTACTTTTCAGCCAGTGTTGATCGGATGAGTGTTCTAAAATGAAATCTTCGTCTGGCGTGCTCTGACATCAACCATTAAAGGAATGCTATCGTTTAAGCATCTTAAACCAAATCATGGGTCTTCAGACTGACGATAGGTAGCAAGCGCAAGAGTAAAGAAATTTTATGTACCGGCTTCTGCTTGCCTCTATAAAATTTCTGTGCTTTTGGCAAAAAATCGTATTTCATTTTTCTAGTTTACGACTAATCATAAAGGTTTCTTTTCATCACATGTTTTATTAAAACTCTTTTCTTATTATCTATTAGCATAAAATATATCTAAAGCGCCGGGGTTGTGACTATCCTGCACCTGCCCAACGAATGGCACATTTTGCAGACAGCAAATTCAGCGCCTTTCCCCCCTACGATGCCATCTTCAAACATTTACATACTACAAACTTACGCTATTTTTCCATAAACTGAGTATACACCCGAAAAAACATATTTCTATCGTCCAAGTCTGGAGGTGTAAACATTTTGGCGATGAGCCAAATTGAAAGCATGTTTTTGCCGTTTCAGGGGGCTGGCTTCTTGTTTCCAACCTTGTGATGGCCAGTTCAAGACGCAGTTCCGTTCCGCTGCTGTTTGAGAGGTCGTACCATGCCATCAGCAAATATCAGAAGAAAAACACTTTGCTGACAAAATTGGCCATGAATGAACTCAGAACACACTTGAATTTCACTCAGCTGAGATTCCACTGCAGCAAACGATTGAACCGGACGTTCCACGTAACCACAGCTGCCAATAGCTTTGGAGAAGCTGTGGTCCAGTACTTCAGCGGTCAGACAGATGTGCTGCCATATTCGTGTGAATCTTTTGTCAGAATGGAAGACGACAACTCAGAATTAGCCAATGTCTGCAAAAAGTGGGGGTTCGAGGGCAATAAATATCATAATGTTGGTAAATGGAGCACTTCTAATCGCAATGAGAACAGATTGTACGATCATGTTGTGATCGTCTGGGGTACTAATCACTGGAATATTCAGCCATCACATCAACGATTTGAATGCGACGATTACAAACATGCAGTGTCTGTCGGTGATTTCTGGAAAATTTATGTACGTTAGATATTTTGGGTGCATTCCCTGTATTCAGAAGTCTTGACTCACACTAGTTAGTGTGATCTAACATCGATACAGAGCGCGCAGTTTTCTATTGAGTATTGAAAGTGATCCTAGATTGCATTGGTTTTGCTTTACTTCGCTTTGTGGTTGGTCCAGAAAACTTGCGCCCGCCACCATCTCAACCAATCAAATGCAAAAGTAAAACCAATTCCAACTTGGTCACTCGTGTTTTCCCGCGCTTCAAGCAGGTTGCCTGTTTTGCGTCGAGTTTTCATTGGTTAATGATGATGTAACCTTTTTTCTGATTGGCTGTGTGATTAATTTGCTTTTGGTTTTCAACACAATTGAAAACTGCTCTATTAGTCGTAAGAATTCATTTTGACCTAACTGAGTTTTTAAAGTTCCCTCCGTCAGTCTCTCAAGACCCGGTTACTAACTCCCTGAAAAGTGATCTTGTTGTAGTCTGATCGTCAGCCAAATATTATTGGCTTGTTTCAACAGGACAGAACAGCCTCGAACGCGCTGATTAACCCGGCAATGTTTCTACTAGTGATCTCTGGAGGATATATGTACGTTGAGGACTCTATGACGTATGAAGTTATTATTGTTGTCATAAACATAAAAATTAGAATCCAAACGTTTCTTAACACGTAATACTTGTAGCTCAAAATATTTGTAGCTCAAAATACTTCATCAAATTATTTGTAACATTATTGCTGTATCTGATTTCAATAAAAATCAGTGGTGATGACCAATAGGTTTCGATTGTAACGAGGGAAGGACACACTTCATAGCTTTCTGTCTTCCCTACTATGCCATTCAACATAAAGCCTTTTACTGAGAGAGAGTTGATTCCAACTTCTTTCATCCGTCTCAATGCTTTGATTTCTCGATCTAAATGGCTCCACCAAGTCACTCAGGAGTCCTTCAGAAGCCTGCGATAGAAGCGTCTTACCAGGGATAGGATGTGTAAGCGTTAAACTAAACGAAAGACGAATGCGCCTACTCGATCAGCGCCCTCATATTGAAGAAAAGGAAGAGGCGATTAAGGGACCAGTCATTATTTGTCGCCTGGGTGGGGTGGGGGAGGGAAGTGAGGAATATTTCTGGGGGGATCACAAGGTTTTCAGGGAGGAACAAGGAGGGGATTAGTCGTCACAAACAGAGTTTAAAGGAGAGACTGTATAACTGCCACTGAAGGAGGGGAGATATGCCACTTAAGGGTGGGGNGTTCAAGTTCCCAGCATCCCGCTCGCTCATGTAAGGTGATCCTGGATGCAGGGGACTCTATGGGAAATGGAGAGTACTGGATCGACCCTGAAAACGATGGAAACCCTTTAAAGGTGTACTGTGACATGACAACTGACGGAGGTAGGCTATTCATGAGGAAAACGTAGTTCTACACACTGATTATTCAGTACTTTGTTGAAATTGTAGTAACAAAACTCAAATTTCATTTAGCATCAATTAAAACATGTACACCTGAAGGGAAATAACTAAACAAGGCAAACATTGGTCATAACAGTTTCTGAAAGAAGAGTAAGGTGCGTTTCATTAATAAAAGCAAAAGCATAGAGAAATAGAACGAATATTTACACAGAGGACCATTTTATTTTAGGAGGTTGGCTTCTTGTTGCAAGCTTAGTAATGGACGGCTCCACCACACATCTGGACCGCTGAGTCATCATACCGCGGAATCAGCAACTTTGCCAACAACAAAATGGTTATCACAACGAGTGCCATGAAAGAATTCAGAACACACCTGTCTTTCACTCAACTGAGATTCCACTGCAGCAAACAAAAGGGACGTACCTTCCATGTGACTATGGCTACCACACCTCCGGTGAAGCTGTGGTGCAGTACTTCAGCGGCCAGACAGACGTGCTTCCCGTCTCATACGGGTCTTTTCAAAGAACGGCAGGTGACAACTCTAAATTGGCTATCGAGTGTAAAGACGGTGGATATGAAAACGTAAAATATTTTGTGGGAAAATGGGGAAACTCTGCAAAGGAGAGAGAAAAAAGATTGTATAAACACACTGTATTTGCGTATGATGCACGATTCTCGCAGTAGAGAGCGCTATTTATGAAATAAAATAGCGCTCTCTACTGCGAGGATCGTGCAACATACCTATCTTTAACCGCAGTTCAATATATATGAACTTCATATATTCATCAGACACTGTATTTGCTTCGTCAAAGTCCGGCCCCGGCCGGACCAACACTCAGGATCTTAAAATAATTGAGAAGAATATGCTACCTCTCTATAACATCAAGAAATGATTAGATATTCTAGTCTTCTCGGATAGGGACGAATAAATGGAGGTCCCGTCTACAGCAGGGTTAGGGGCAGGAGACGTTAATTTCCCACGCACGAGATTACTGTGTGATGGATGTCCTCCCCTGGGGTNGAAGGGAAATAACTAAACAAGGCAAACATTGGTCATAACAGTTTCTGAAAGAAGAGTAAGGTGCGTTTCATTAATAAAAGCAAAAGCATAGAGAAATAGAACGTATATTTACACAGAGGACCGTTTTATTTTAGGAGGTTGGCTTCTTGTTGCAAGCTTAGTAATGGACGGCTCCACCACACATCTGGACCGCTGAGTCATCATACCGCGGAATCAGCAACTTTGCCAACAACAAAATGGTTATCACAACGAGTGCCATGAAAGAATTCAGAACACACCTGTCTTTCACTCAACTGAGATTCCACTGCAGCAAACAAAAGGGACGTACCTTCCATGTGACTATGGCTACCACACCTCCGGTGAAGCTGTGGTTCAGTACTTCAGCGGCCAGACAGACGTGCTTCCCGTCTCATACGGGTCTTTTCAAAGAACGGCAGGTGACAACTCTAAATTGGCTATCGAGTGTAAGGACGGTGGATATGAAAACGTAAAATATTTTGTGGGAAAATGGGGAAACTCTGCAAAGGAGAGAGAAAAAAGATTGTATAAACACACTGTATTTGCGTATGATGCACGATTCTCGCAGTAGAGAGCGCTATTTATGAAATAAAATAGCGCTCTCTACTGCGAGGATCGTGCAACATACCTATCTTTAACCGCAGTTCAATATATATGAACTTCATATATTCATCATACACTGTATTTGCTTCGTCAAAGTCCGGCCCCGGCCGGACCAACACTCAGGATCTTAAAATAATTGAGAAGAATATGCTACCTCTCTATAACATCAAGAAATGATTAGATATTCTAGTCTTCTCGGATAGGGACGAATAAATGGAGGTCCCGTCTACAGCAGGGTTAGGGGCAGGAGACGTTAATTTCCCACGCACGAGATTACTGTGTGATGGATGTCCTCCCCTGGGGTGGGACGGGTGGGTAACAGGACCCCCGTTGATACCAGTATTTATTACACTGAAGGGGCTATCCTGTATAAATATAGATGTTTACTCTACTCTATAAGTGGTTTTTTGACGTTAACCACTGGTTTTGTAATGATCTGAAAAACGACGCCAACCCTTCGGCAGGAGATTTTTGGAAAATCTACGTACTGCGTTAAATGAATAGAAAAAAAAGTGAAAATATTTCGATCGAGTGTCGCAGCAATGTAAAAATGCAAGATTCATCTCTATGATCGATAGAGGCGTTGTTATCTCTACATTAAGAAATCAATGACCTTATCACTAGTTATCCCGGGGGGGAGGGGAAAGAGGTTTGGAGGGGATCATGCCACATGGTTTTCAGGATGAACGGAGGAGGCATCAGTCGAGGTCAAAAGAAAATAATTTTTTGCGGAACGCAACCACAACCAGAATCCTCCGACTTCCCCTCCCCCCCCCTCCCCCCGTGGTAAAAAAAAATTTATCGGTCCCTAAATCATATTACATAAAATTGAGCTCTAGCCTGATTTTGAAAAAAGTAGTTTTCCTGAATTTAGTCTTTATGGACTTATTTGTCAGCAAGGAGAGCCAACCATTCTTTCATATTTCCTTAAATCTTTAACAAAGAGAAAAAAAAATACAAACTTTGCTCGAAACCTTTTCAAAATAGTCAAAACGAAGGGGCTAGTGGGAATGAGAAGGAGAGAACATCTGTCACAAGCCAGTTGAAGGTTATTTTGTGCGACCACTTGAAAACCTAAATATGGATATTCAATTTCAAAAACAATTCTGAGTAGTCAAAATAGAAAAAGAAAAATCTCTCTGTTTAGAACAGACAGAATAAGTCATAATATATACAAAAAAAAAAAACGCCTAAGAAAAGACAAAAAATAAAACAAAACAAAAAAATGAACGGGTGGATATACAAAGCGGCAAGACATAAGTACATGATTCTTGAGAATTTCGACTTAACCAAACTTATTGGCCATTATTGGCCATTATTGGCCATTATTGGCCATCACCAAGAGATGATTATATGGGGATCGGTTACAAAAGAAAACCAATTTTATCGTTGACTTATTAACGGCGCATCTTTTTGTTGATAAATATGCTGTGCATTTCTTTAGTTTCCTTTGATGATCAGGTTCCTATTTCTCTTAACATCTCCATTCAGATTGATATTCGTCTGTTTGTTCGTTTAGCAATCCATATCGTGTTATGACAAGTGA